TCACTACTTCTGTTCAGTTTATGCTGCTAGGTTGATGGTGGCTCAGGGTAAAGGTTTGATTGTGGTCATATCATCCATGGGTGGCCTGCGCTATCTCTTTAATGTGCCCTATGGTGTCGGCAAAGCTGCAGTGAGTCACAGCATTACATATTCTATATTTGCAGTGCTTTACGGTTATCAAATATAAAAGCCAGATTAATTCAGTTGCACACAACGGTCACCACTTCTCTTTTACATTGCTTTTTCATAAACATTTTGCTCAGATTTTTTTTTTCCTTTAGTGTGACAGAATGGCAGCAGACATGGGAATCGAACTGAAAAAGAGAGGCGTTGCTTCTGTAAGCCTGTGGCCAGGAGCAGTTCAGACTGAGACAATTAAACAGTATATGTCTCAAGATGAAGGACCTCCAGGTTTTGATTCCAAAGTAAGCAGTCATTAATCAAAATTTGCAGATTTTCAACTAGCATTTAAATGATAGAATGTAAATGGACCAAGAAATTAGGTAAATGACCACCAAATGATACAAAACAGGTCTTTCACAGAACTACATATTTCACTTAGCCATTGCTGTATCCTCACCCACAGATGTGTAAAACTAGTTTAAAGACAGGAAACACAGCTTGTCTGAAATGTTATTGTAAAAGTTACTGTAAAAGTAGATTTGTCAATGAAATTTGCATCATATTTTATATAATTGGTCAAAAATGTAAATACTTTTACATGTGCATGGCAGTTTTTACAATGAACAGTGTTCAAAAACATCCAGTTATACGTGGAGACTACATTCACAGATTGTCTTCCCCCAGATTTCCCTTTGCTCTTCTTCCTTGATGACTTTAGCTTTCCTATAGTGCTGTGGATACTTAAAGGAATAATTCATCAAAAATAAAAGATTCTGTCATCATTTACGGACCGCTGACTTGTTCCAAACCAGTCTGTAAAAACTCTGAACAAGTCTTTTGACGAGAGGGGTCTGGCTGCAGACTTGGTGCAGGTGCAATCTGAGCTGCATTCAATGCTTTTTAAATGCACTCACCTAACCCCACCCCTAACCCTACCTCCATTGAGTGCATTGTGTCTGACATTGCATCACTGAGCGATGCAATCTCAGCTTGCATCATAAAGGCTGCATCCAGATACTAATTGCTTTTGACACCTTTGAGTTTTGAATGAGTCAAGAGAGTGTAAACGATGACAGAATTAGGGCTCTATTTTGACGGTCCATGCGCAGAGCGCAAAACGCAGGGCGCAAACGCTTTCAGGGCGTGTCAGAACGCATTTTTTCTAATTTAAGGATGGGAAAACCTGCTTTGCGCTATGGCGCATGGTCTAAAAGAGTTGAGTTTATTTTCTTAATGAGTTATAGGTGTGTTTTGAGAATAAACCAATTAAAGAGTCATCTCCCATTCCCTTTAAGAGCCAGCTGCGTCGCGCCATAAGCGCATTTTGACATAAAGTAAGTTCACTTTCGCTTTTGCTCTCGTGGATAGGGAAACCTTTACGCACAGACATCAATTAGCCTATAAATAATTAATTTCGTTTGTTAAGATTTGTTTCAAAACTATTTCTAAATTCAGTTCTAATTTCTAGCAAACGAATAAATGAACAATAATAACCAAGTGTGGTCAAAATACTGAGTTATTTCCAAATACACCTGCCATGCCCCATATGGTCTAAAATTTGACAGGTGGACAAATCCAAGCTTGTTTTTAATAAAACAAATATAAATATGGATATAATAAATAATACTGCTAATAATAATAACATTATACAAAAGCAAATTGAATGAACTGAAAAAGCCTCCCGAGATGAAGAAAGTAAGGCAGTGGTTTTTAAATCTTCATGTAGGCTAGAAATTAATATGTTTTGTAATATTTTAATCATTTATATTTATATCCTGTATATAAATCCTTATTATATTATATTATATTATATATATCCTTAAGATATTATATATTTTTCATATGTAAAGATATTTGCGTATTGCTCTGCATCTTGTTTGTAGTGTGTAAGCCAGGTGCACTTTGCGCCAGACAATAGACCGACTTTGTTCTGGTCTAAAGATCAGACTATTTACAGTTTCTCAAAATAGCAATGCGCCAAAACACACCTGCTTTTTTAGACCAGAACGCCTATGGGCGCACATTTGAGCGCAAATGCGTTTGCTATTTAAACAGCGTGGCACAACACCTCAAAATGACCCTTGCGCTGAGCTAAAGGTAGCAAAAGAGTATTGCGCCATGCCTTGCGCCACATTGCGCCGGGTGTATGATAGGACCCATAAAATGTTTGGATGAACCATCCCTTTATTTGGGAATCTTACTCCAGTTAAACGTTTGCTTCTTAAGTTAATCTGGAATAAATTGATAACACAACAGGGTGGTATTTGACTGTTCAAGTCTATTCAATAAGTGCAAACTGGGAGTGACCTTAACAACACCATGCCTTAGGTATTTTAGTACAACAAGCCACTCATTTAATAACTTTATACAATCTGTCTTTCTCAGTACAAGGACGTTTTCACTAATGGTGAGACGACGGAGCTTAGTGGACGATGCATAGTTGAGCTAGCGAAAGGTTAGATATTATTGTTATTATTGTAATTTTATTATTGATTTAATGGGAACTGAAAGTTAACAGTCATGAGATTATCTTAATAATCTAATAGATGTAATGTGAACTGCTTATGAATCTGTTACCTTTTTTGTGACAAACAGATAAAGGTCTGATGTCAATGACTGGACAAGTGTTAATGACCTGTGAACTGGCCCGGCGCTATGGATTTAAGGATGTTGATGGTATGATTCTTATAAAAAAAGATACATGCCGTAGATGTAAGTGTTCCAAAATAAAACTGCACTGTATTTGATGAACTCTTTCTCTGTTTAGGTCGCAGTATTGTGGATTACACCTCTCTGAAGTTTGCCATTTCCCAGATACCCTACGTGTCCTGGCTATCCATTTTTACTCCTTCATTCATCAGAGTGCCTCGGTCCTTGCTAAGTCTTGGCAGTGGTAATTTCTAACCTGCATTGGTGCAGAGACAGAGCCTGCTTTTTTGGTTAATCCTCTCTTCATTCATTCCAATTATGTTGTTTCTAAATATAATATATTGTTAAACTTTACAAAGTGATTAGTACTGGTTAAATGCCATTTATTTCCCATTTTTTCAGCACACTGCTATCACAATTCACTGTTTTCCAAAATGAAAAAACTATCATGAGTTTTAATATTTACTCCATTTAACCTGAAACAGAATGAAGTACTAAATGTGTACTTGCCAAACAAGTTATTGCAATAAACTCATAACATTTTATTGGTCTTTTTTTGTGTTTCAAATAAATCTTTTATGTGCATTGGTTAACAGACATGTAATAAATTGGATAAAGACTGTAAGCTGATCATAAGCACAAAAAAACGCTTAGTTAGAAGTTGCTCATATAAAAATGCAGCCAAAATAAACGCAGTCAAGTTATTCAGGACTTTTATCTACAGTTATAGGTGTAGTTCATCCAAAATCAAATACAATTTTATCACTCCTAAGAATGTAGGTGACTTTTTTCTTCAGTAGAACACTAAAGAAGATTTTAGCCATTTATATGCTGCACTATCCAGTTTAAGCACTACAGCATACCATTAGGGTGAGCAAAACAACACATGCAGTTCCCTCTTCATTGTAAACAAACCATTTTAGTTTACAAAATTCAATTAAATGCTTAGGACCATTTGCTGCTAATGAAATGTAATAATGTTGCAAATAATGTTCAAATTATTAAATCACCTTGCTAGTCCTCAATCTAATAATCAGTAGCTACAGTATTAGTGTAAGTTTTATTTGCTTCTATACGTTTGAATCTCACAATGTCGGTAGCTGTTGACTGATATTTTATAAATCATCAAGCCCGCGGTTTCATTTAAAAACCTTATCAAAGGGATAGTTAACCCAAAAATGAAAATCCTATGATCATTTGGTCACCCTCCACTTATTCCAAAACTGTTTGAGTTTCTTTCTTCTGTTAAGCACAAAGGAAGATATTTTAAAGAATAATGGAAAGCTGTAGTCATTGTAGCACAATATCTAAAGTATTTATTAAATATTTTGTTCATGTGGATGCTAATGGCTGCTAGTTTCCACCATTCTTCAGAATATATTGTTTTATGTTCAACAGAGCGTCACAGTGGCACAATGAGTAGCACAATAGATCGTCTCACAGCAAGAAGGTTGCAGGTTTGAGCCCTGGCTGGCTCAGTTGGAATTTCTGTGTGGAATTTGCATGTTCTCCCCATGTTCACGTGGGTTTCCTCCAGGTCCTCTGGTTTTCTCACAGTCCAAAGACATGTGCTATAGGTAAATTAAATAAGCTAAATTGGCCGTAGTGTATGTGTGCATGCAAGAGTGTATGGGAGTTTGCCAGTGTTGGGTTGTGGCTGGAAGTGCATTTGCTGCATAAAACATATGCTGGAGAAGTTAGCAGTTCATTCCGCTGTGTGAACCCGAGATTAATAAAGGGACTAAGCTGAACAACAACAACAACAAAAAAAGAATGAATAAATGTTCAACAGAGGAAAGAAATTCATAAAAGTTTAGAGCGTTAGAATCTATAAGGAAATTCTTATTTCCTTGGTGAACTGTCCCTTTAACCATTTAACCGAATCAAAGACAAAAGTCACCTTAGTATTGCCTGAGGTAGAGTAACTTAACAACAATTATTTATTTTGGTTTTAACGTTTTTGTTGTTGTTGATGTTTATTTGTGGATTAAATGCTTTACCTTTCCTGAACTGAAAGGTACTTATCAAACTATCTCTTACACCTCTATTCAAAGAATAATGATATTCAATCATCCTTACCTGGAGACTCCTAAAACTTATCATGTGGCACAATTCTTATGGTAATCACATCCCAGATGGGAAGTGCATTCACGGGGCCAAGTTTCAGCTGTGCTCCTCCTCCCATCCCTCTCCTTCCCGGATTGGACCTGCACGTCCACGGCACCGTCATTGCACGAGAAAGAGGGGGCTGGTCCGAGAGTTTCCTGATCCTCTCCGTCTAGCCTCGGTCTGACCGGACAGGCGAAAAACACTTTGGGATTTCCAGAACAAAAGCGACAACGGAGAATACAGACCAGCTGAAGTGGCGTCTCCACAAACAACCCTGAGAGAAATTCAAGCGGTGAGTTGTTTCACGCGAACTGCTGTAGTTTACACTCGAGAAGTTTTTAAAGAGGAGCCAGGACGGGTTAAATGCTCTCGAAGCTTGTTATTTTGGTCCTGAAAGCCACGCGAGGGGTCAGACTATAATGTCGTGCTTCGCATCGTGTTTACGTTATTTGAAGCGTTTGTTTGAATGGGGAACGTGTGTAAATTAACGAGATTCAACGGGAACGTGCGGTTAAAGTGGGACAACGGGAGTTTATGTGCGTTACTGAAGCGTGAGCGGATCCTGCGCCACAAAAGGGGTCGTTTATAAGAATTGTTTTGGCTTAACCCCTTGTTTATCATTCATTCATTCGCTTATAATGGCTCTTACACCTGCTTACTGTTTGTTGGATGAACACGCACAGTAATGACCTCATCTCACATCCTACGACCTGCGTCAAAAGTTCCCCACATAAGCTGATTATAACAGAGGCCACGTACAAACATCGGGCACTGACGTAATTTCAAACTAGTTTTAACCAAGTTTTTTAGGGAGAAAACTGGATTTATGGATTTCTCAGAGTGTATAGGAATGAAAGTACGTTTATGTCTGAAATTAAATTACAATTAATTATGAATGATTAAACATTTGTATAACAGAAGTCATGAATAATAGAATTATCACAATATTTTCACAAGATAAATAGTTTGTTAATTACACACTAAAATATAAATGATAGGACTAGTAAACAACATGGTGACCAAAGCTTCCCTATCTTTAAGGGACTTTACGCATAGTCGAGTCATTCCATGTTGTTCCAAGTCATCATCTGATAAATGAGCTCACCACAGGCGGTCGGGAATTTGTCCTGTCAAGTTCACCTCTAACTTGTTTTGAAGATGACTGGCCTACTCGTTGCTTGTAGTGGTAAATTGCCTAATATTGGCAAAGCCTTTCCAAGCAGGATTGCCTAAGACTATGCTTGCGTAGACTATTGGCAAAGTTTGTTTCTGTGGTTCACAGTTCAGCTCCGTTTTAGACTCATTGAAGTCACAGGATGCTGCTTGAACAAGCTAAAATTCAAGACACTGTCATTGATTTACAAATTGATAACTATAAGGAGTTAAGGTGTTCTAGTAAGTACAAGAAATGTAATGACAATTAGATTTTAAAGTTAAAACAAAAAAAAATGTAATGTTAAACACATGCTCAGTATGAGATGATGTACGTCTGCATTGAAGATTGTAATGTGTTCTGTAGACAAACTGCAGAACTGGCAAACAAATGAGCTCGACAAATTGCACTAACTTTTGTTGCCTTTTTTTAACTGAGACGCTTACTATCTCTTGGCCATCTGTTGGAAGGTTAAACGAACTCTACATGGTTCTAGTGAGTTAAGCAAACGGGGGAAGTGGACCATTACGTGCTCTGGAAAGGGGCAAGAGAGTTGTGAAGGGCAGGGCCCCCCATCTCTTTTTTGCCCAAGTCCACCAAAGTGGGGGTTGGGTGTGCATTGGTGTAGAGTATACGACGGGCTTTAATAAAAGGCTAATGTGTGGAAGAGAACGGGCAGGGGGAAGGGGTGACATCTGTCCTTCTTTCAACTTTAGAGAGGAAAGTCAATGGCTGGACTATAGAGTTGACCGTAAAGTCCCAGTTTAATGACTTTCAGGGAGTTTGATGAACAGCGTTCCTTGAAAGTCATGCATGAGTCATTGTGAGTTCCCGGATAGGCATCAATATTGTCAGAAGTCCAGCACTAATGTTTAAGGCATCTTGAAAGTGAGCAGAAAAAATCTGTTGTAGATTCGACCAGTCAAAACTGGACGGAACCCCACCCGTTTACCCATCAGCCAGCAACAGTCGACCAACCCCCAGCATTCCAACCTCTTCACCCCTTGCAAATCCGGCTTACAAACAACGAACAGGATTTTAACGGTTACCAAAAAACAACTGTCCAAAAGCCAATTTTTTTTTTTAATGGCATGATGTACATGTCATAATTTTGATGCTGCTCATGAGGGCAAATGCACTTTTCACAGCTTGGGCCTTAAATTATTTTATTGTTCATTTGTCTAATTTGCTGAACTGATTAGCATTCACAGTTTTTAAGACACATCTTCGAACAAATCCTTCAGTTGCTTGATTTTAACGTCTGTGTTTTCTTTTTCATTTTTTCAGTCTGTGGCAATAGAGGTGTGACATCTCTGATGGCGACGCACAGTGTCCATGACCTGAAAATTATCTCTCCAAGAGGGGTGGCAGTAAAAAGGCAAGATGGAACCTTCACCAGCTCAAAGCAGCAAAAATCACCATACCAACACAATTCCGATAGAAAGGAACATGCAAGTGCCTCCAATCACAGACCAAGAGAGAGCAATGGCACCACCGCAGCAAGCTTTAGCACTAACAATAACTCTGTAGTATGTCTTCCTTTGGTGTCTGAAGGACTGAAGCTAGTGTGGACACAGTCTGATCAAACACGTGAGCTGGATAGCATTCCTGAACTTGTTCAGGCCTTTAACATCTTTCCCTACCCAACATCTCAAGAGGTCAGCACTCTTGCACGTGTGTGCACTCTTCCATTAGATAAAGTCAAAGTGTGGTTCATGGTGCAACGCATCAAGTATGGAATCAGCTGGGCTTCAGAGGACATTGAAGAGACACGGCTCAAGCTGGCCAGGCCAGAGCAAAAAACTGAGACTGAACATAAAGAGAGCAGTACTAAGAGGAAAAATGATAGTAAGGATTTTACAGAGGTAGAAGATCTAGCACAAAGTCCACAAATGCCTCGCAAAAGACCTAAAACTGAAAGTACAGAACCAGCAAAGCTCTCTCCTGCTCCCTCACGTTTCCGTTCATCGCTCCCTCCACCTCAGGATTCATACTACTACCGACAACCAGTAGAAATACCAGAGACGCCTCAAGCAGCTACCCCCCCTACAGCTACAGAGTCTCCAGTTGTATCTGAGCAGCCACGGCATAGCCGCTACAAAAAGTCCAAAGCCCAGTTAACTGCTCTGCGTAAGAGTTTTCTACAGGAGAACTGGCCTGATGAGACTGAGCTTCAGCGCTTACAAGATGAGACAAGCCTAACTCGTAATGAGATTCGAAAATGGTTTAGTGACAGTCGCTACCAGCTACGGATGGGTAGGGGGTTGCAAATGTCCCTCCCTGCTACTCAAGGAGAAAAAGATGATCCCAACTGCAGCCTGTCACCACAGTCTCAGGAGGCTCAGCCACTTTCTCTCACTACTAAAAAGCAAACTACGCAGCATGTTGACAACAAAGGCAAGGAAAAGACTTGTGTCAAAGGATCGCGAAGGAATCGGCCAAAGACCTCCCAGTTTTTCCAGCTTTTCCTGTCTAACACACTTGAGTCATTTGAAGAAGGAACAATAAGAGTGGATGAGGAGAAATGTTCAGAAGAAAGTGAGACGCAGAACAATGATGAAGTTGCAAGTGAACAGGAAAGTGAGGGACATTGTGTGGCAACACCAGAGCCAGCAGCACCCACTTCCTCCTCCTCTCCTCCGTCCATCACCCCATCCAAGAAACACACAGCCAGGTCATCAAAATCTGCACGCAAATCAAACTCTTTGAATACCTCCTTAAACCTCCCAGACAACTCGTCTCCTTCTTCAGTATTAACAGTGGCTGGACGACCAAGGAAAACAAAGGAGCAACTGACCATCCTGAAGGAGTACTTCCAGCACTGCCCATGGCCAAAAAGTGGCGAATACACAGAGGTAGTGGAACTAACATCTTTGCCTCGTGCTGATGTTATCCAGTGGTTTGGGGACACTCGTTACGCTGTAAAAAATGGCCATGTACGTTGGGTGCATGCTGACGTACGTGAGCAAGTGCTTGCTGAGATAGCAATGTTACAAAGTGGAGCTGCCGATGGCAGTGGAACCCCAGGAAGTGAAGGCAACAGGAAACGTAAGTCACAAGGGAATGGCACACCAAAAACACAAAAGTCTGCTGCAGATTCTGTAGATGTGAGTCCATTAGAGCTATATTTTCGACAGACAGGACCACTGCAAGAGAAAGACCTTGACAATCTCTGCCGAAAGTCAAAAATGAGTTACCAACAGGTGCGAGACTGGTTTGCATCTAAAGACAGTACAACACTGGACACAGAGCTCACTGTTGCTGATTGATTAATATAAAAGAGAAAACTCTTTGTGCTCATGTCTGTTAATCTGCTGTGGGTCCTGTAATCAGGCAAGGTTGTTTTGAAGACACAGTATAAATTATCTTCATACAATACTGTTTTTTGTTAAAAAACTAGCATGTGAAGTATTTTCTTTAATACCTATTAAATATTTTGTTACTTTTGTTAACTTGTTCAACCAACGATATTGATAATTCAAAATGTACTTTTGGTCGTTGTAAACTGTTCAACCACATTAATTACTAAGTATTGTGAATCTGTTGGAGTCATATTTACACTGGCTGTTCCTCTAATTCCTTTCATTGTGTTGATGGTATTATTGTTTAGAGCCTTAACTGCTGCTGCTTAGAACTGATATTATCCTCAGACTTTTTTCTTTTTTTTTTCAGTAACTTTGGCTTGGTTATCTATTAGGTACTGTAGTGTAGTTGTTTGGACCAGTAGCAATGCAAGATTGTTTTTGTCAATTTTTTTTTTTTTAAATCTTAGAAGATTCATATGGCACTGTATATTGATAATCTCTCAAAATAATTAACCTAAATTTAGGATATGTAAAACCTGCCCCATTATCTTTCTTTATTATTCCGCACTTAGGAGTTATATGGATCAATTTCTCTAATTCTGCTACTTCATAATGAAAAAGCATTTCAATTCAAAGACATCCCTCCTCCACTACAGATCTGCTCAGTATCCAGGGAAAAGACAACAAAAGCCATGGTTTTTGTAAAATCTTGTGCCTTATTGTCTGCAAATTTCAGGCAGTCGAAACAATGCATTGAATTAAAATGACTAATTATGTTTGACCCACTGTTGCATTTGTCTGGTTTACCTCTTAACAATGATTAAATGTGCCAAATGAACCACACTCCATTAGGAAAATGGTGTATGATATGACTTGAACTCTAAATCATTTAGGGCAGGGATGTTCAAACTTGGTCCTGCAGATTTTAGCTCCAATTTGCCTCAACACACCTCCATGGATATTTTTAGAAAGCCCAATAAGAGCTTGATGAGCTAGACCAGGTGTGTCTAATTGGGGTTGGAAAAAAACTTTGCAGGACACCGGCCCTCCAGGACCGAGTTTGGACACCCCTGATTTGGGCTATTCAGTATTAAGCTAAGAATTTAATTAGATTACAATTTCTAAAATTAGCATTTCGTTTAACAACACAAACACAAGCATATTGATTATATGTTCTATGTTTCTTCTGGTATAACAAATTGTAAGTTTATAGAATTATGCCTCAGTACTGTGACCAACTCATACTTTAAAAGGGACCAAACTAATATCTATAATAATAATAATAATAATATAATTATTATATTTAAAAATATATCATTTATTAGACTTATTTGTTTATTGTTTATCTCCTTGTTCTAACTGAGCCAGCGCGCAAAAACTGACATTTCTTATTAACACATTTATTGTTTTTCCTCAGTTAAATGCGATTTCAATTACAATGTAAAATAAAAGCAAGTTATATTTTGTCCATATGTGTCATTTTAATCCTTGCAATATGCTAATTCAAAAACAAGTAAAACATTTAGATGATATTTTCAGATACAAAAAAGGCCAAATACTTTACCCACTGCAATGGATTTTATGTAATGTACAACTGATAAACGCCTTTCCAATAACTTGGAAGATTATAATAATAATCCATGTGACTACTAGTTATGGTCTTGGAGACTGGAGGTAGGGTCTAGCCAGAAGCTGGAAATGAAAGTTGTTTGGAGTTGTATGTTGCGATCTACAAATAATGAGAAGGAAATATGCAATTGCTTAATAGAGCATCAAAATGTTTAGTCTTGGTAAATGCATAAATGGTTACCTTGTGGGAGTGTTAACTGAGCTGGGTGTCCCTTTAAGATAAAAAGAGAACATAAACACACGATAAGTCTGAACAATATTCCCCACCTTGAGTGGACTCCTTTTACTTTACAAACTCCTATAATGATATTTGAGTGATATGATTAGTGGTATGATAATATATCACTTACTGAAACTGCGGTCTGGTACTGAGCTCACAGTTGAAATAGAGATGGATGACCCTGTTGGTGTCTAGACCAAATGAGATGTAAAACAGGGTTATAAACACTTGTCTTGATAACTGGTCACATTTAACTAAACAAACTATATACTAAAATATAGCAGAGAAGTCTACTCACTGTCATCCCAGGTCTGGAATGTCTAAACCTCTCCAATGTGTCACCCGAACTTGCATGAAAATCAGAAATTAATTTCATTACTCTTACAAGGGGATTTCAAATCGACCAAATAAAAATGACTAAGATGATAGAATCCAACCTACCTGACAGCTCGAGAATGAGGTGTGACTGTGGAATGTGATGAGAATAAATATTTACAAAACAGTGTTTGCTTCAAGAAGGCAAGGGGTGCATCTCAATCAGCTCTCTAGGTTCTGAGGTCATGAATCAGTATGTTGTTGATACTGACAGTAGGCATGGGCCAGTATAAGATTCTGATGTTATGATAACCTTGAATAGAAATATCACGGTATTGTTATTACTGCTCTAAAATATGTTCTTTATAAATGTCACTTGTAAACTTTTTTTCCCCTTTAAACACAATATATTTTATTTAAGAAACTTAAAAAATATCGTGGAGCAGTAAACATGCCAGGCTAAATAATTCAAATAATCATCGACTTCTGTCCTCGTTTGTTTCAAAAACACAAATTTATTTATAATTTAAAATGGCATCTTTTGATATCTTTTCTGCTGAGATACTGTTTTGAAAAAAAAAAAAAAAAAAAGCGTAAATAAAAAAATCTTACACATACCTTAGGAACGGTATAGCAGAAAATTTTGGAGGTTTTAAAACAATAACAACAACCTTGAAAATGTTTTTTGTCCCATGCCTAGCTGACAGTAAAAACAAGGAAGTCCTCTTTGTACATCTCCTCTAATATTCATGAACAACAACAACAGATCTCATATTTTACATATTCTTATAACATAAAATATCATTTTAAGAGTTCACACTTAGCTAATGAACTATCAAAAGCTTGTTTGGCATGCTGTCCCGGGAGAGAACCCTGAGCTCAAGGGATCCTCGAGCCCAGGGCTCCTTCCCGTTCGCAGAGCAAGAAGGGAGCTTGTGTTCTGTGGATCTCAGAACTCCCCGGCTGCAGTAGCTAAGGGAACACATGAGAAAAAGGGGGCTAGGCAAGTGCTTGATTGTTATGCATGATGTAAATCTTTGGATGGTGGGAGGAAACTGGAGAACACGGGGAAAACCCACACAGACACAGGGAGAATATACAAACTCCTCACAGAAACGCCCACCGGCCTGGTGGACCCAGGGTCGGCAGTGTTCTTGATGTGGAGCTAACAGGGCTAACCACTGGGCCGCCATGCCGCCCGATCTATGGTAAAGGAGGAGAATGGGGAGGAAGGGGAGTTTCTACCAAACGAAGATAAAGTGGACTGAAGACTGTTTTTTTTATAGTAGCTTAGGGCTCGTATGATTGGAAGATCATGATTCGCTAATACGAGACCGGCTGTGATAAATTATGAGCATGTAATCCTTTCGAAATCAGTTTATAAATAAACATCACTTCAAGTACACAACAGATAAATTGTTTAATATACCTGCAACATTTCATCCATTAATTCATTGATGTTAAACAACCGATTTTTATATTCTTCTGTATTTGTCTATATATTTGTTTAAGCTTAAACATGAATATGGCAGTCAGTGCTAATAGCCTAGAGGTTAAGTTTGCTGACATATTGCACGGTGTTTCTGGCATGAGGCTACCCACACTTTACTGGCTATAATCTAAATAAAGGTGAAACACCCCTAAAAATAATTAAACACCCACACACACACACACACACACAGTTTAAGTCAAAATTATTAGCCCTTTTTGATTAAAATTTTTTTATTTTTCCCAAATTATGTTTAACAAAGCAAGGGAATTTTATGTCTGATAATATTTTTTGTTCTTGAGAAAGTTTTATTTGTTGTATTTCGGCTGGAAATGAAGCAGTTTAAAAAAAATTAAAACCATTTTAAAGTCAAAATTATTAGCCCCTTTAAGCTATATTTTTTTCAATAACCTACAGAACAAACCATCATTATAGAATAATGATGGCTAATTAACCTAGTTAAGCCTTTAAATGTCACGTTAAGCTGTATAAAAGTGTCTTGAAAAATATTTTTTACGGTCATCATGACAAAGATAAAATAAATCAGGTATTAGAAATGAGTTATTACATCTTTTGTTTAGAAATGTGTGTATATATATATATATATATATATATATATATATATATATATATATATATATATATATATAGATGTGTGTGTGTGTGTGCGTGTGTGTTTGTGTCTGTTGTGTCATTAAGTGTGGTGAGCTGGTTCATGTGATTTATTTTTCATGCCTCAGAACTACCATTGAGGGAATATTGTGGATTTCAATGCTCCCTGGTTTTTATGATGCATTGTGAAAATTTTAAGGTACTGAATGTTTCAGTGCACTGGAAGACTCCCTGATCCATGCCCTGACTACTCAACCAGTGATCTGACTGAGAGGCACCCAAAGTTTCTAACTCAAGCCATGAAACTTGCTACCTGGTGATGTGACAGCCACAGGAAGAATCATCCTTGGAGTTCCACTATAAATGGGAATAATATATTTAGATTTCATATATATTAGCTTATAGTGTATTATATTATAGCACCTAAACAGAATTATCTGCATTTACCCGTTAATTGAAAGACTCCCAGGAGATGTCTGAGTGTGTATGGGGAGAAAAATTACAGGAAACATGAGAGAGAACGAAAGGTATAATGCAAGTGAGGTGGAGCACGCAACAAGAAACTCTCACCCTCCTCTGAGAAAGAGGCTTCTTTAATTCTTCATTCTCCTGTTTCAGCTCAGACACTTGCCTTAAATAAAACAAAAGTAACTAAGCAGTCCTATTATTCAAGTGTTACTAAATATATATTTGAGGTCCAAGTCACACAAAGACCACCTGTAGCACTGGTCACGGACTTCTTTCAGCTTTCGCTCCAGTTCCACAGACCTGCTTCTGAAGAAAGCGATGACACGCTCTTTCTGCCTTTTCTGGAAAATTGCAATCTGAAACACATGTTTTTCTTAGGCCTTGAAGTTATTGTCACGTGATAAATTCAAGTTCAAGTTCCAGGGTTAACAAGACAATGTTTGGATTTCCTTGGCCTTTCAAATGCAGTGGGTTAAAATTTAAACTGGGCAGGATGAAATGAGTAAGACCTGTGCAATATGTTCCAGTCGAGTCTGAACAAGCTTCACTGGATCTTTGAAAAACATCTTTTCCTGAGGCTTCATCTACAGAAAATGAAAGGAATACGTGGGTGACTGTATAATAAAAAGGATGATTTCTTTAAGATACACTTGTTCTCTAACTAATAATAACAATGCAATAATTAAAACATTTAAACTGTAATATTTCAGACCATCACTCTCATGTAACATGTAAGCAATCTAAAACAATGGTATTTTCTGCAATCTTTCATTACTACTTCTTAGTTACTAATGAAAACCTGTTAGCACGTAGGTCTGCCTATAGCTATCAAATTAGCTAGTTATTGAGTGGTTCCTTTTATACTTAATAGTAAGTAGTCTGCACAATACTGATATTCTCTGCATGCTTGATTAACATGCTTATTTTTTGTTAATACTGACAGACTATGAAAATGTTGACCTGCCTGTATGTTTCTGATGACAAACTTACTCTGAAATTTCAGTTGCCATATGAAATGTCTCTATTCTCTTTCAGTACAGAACTGTATTCATCACTCAAAACGAGTTTAACCACCTAGCCCACATCCAGTGTGGACCAGGAGACCCTCAGGGTGAGCTTTGAAGATGGGGGTGGGTAAAAATATGGTTCCCAGGGCAGACCAGACACACCAAGGCTCCCTGTGGATCAAGACCTGCTGACTGTGTGAAATGAGCACTTGTTCATCGGTGTGATTTAAACTCACCTGCTCAGATATGTGTAGGTAGTTGCAGCTGGCAAGACAAACTCTGCACTGACCTTTAGGAGAACACAGACTTAATTGAACCACGCTACTTTCTCTAATAAAAGTATAAACAGGACATTAATTCACGACTTACTTGAATTCACGCAGTTCTCACAAAATATATGGCCACAAGAGGATACCGCGAACTTTTTCCCCTCCCTCACAAAACAGTTGTTACAGTGAAACCAGTTCATTTCACCACTGTGGAGACCAAACATTAACGTATACATGTGCTTTGTATATTTACCGTGACGTAAAGCTAGCAATTTTCTCATTACTCTGATGAGATTACCTCAAGTTTACAATGACAATTCAGCAGAAGCTAGTGGATTCACGGCCTACCGTCAAGTTAGTGAGAGTCACACTTAATCCAACAGATGGCGCCAAAAAGAAACCGTTAAATGGCAGTTCAACAGACGACAATCTCGACGCCATCTAGTGGTCAGTTCCGTGAAGGTAACTTCATACATTTTGTACACATCATTTGGAAGTTGAAATGCACAATGAACAAACCATTGGTTTCCCACACACACACAAAAATAAAATTATTATAGTCATAACTTAACCATCTTGCTGCGCGTATTAATTGCATTTGTTATGATTAATTGCCCTACCAATCAAGACTACAATGTAAATAATGATCAATTAGTCCTGACAGAAAGGTAACAAACAATGTTGATATTCTAACTTAATTTTAGAAGTTAGAAGGGCTGTTTTAAGTCAGTTGACTCAAGGTTAATTTGATTTAGATTAAATCTTTGCGGTGCACATTTAATTGAACATCCATTTCATTATTATTTAGGAAGTTCATAATTATGAATAATTTAAGCAAACTTTCATTCACCGAGCAAGAAACACCATTAAGCTTATTTTGCTCTGCAGAAATAGGATCAAGTTTATTTCAATAAAATGAATAACACCAGAATCATTTTGGAACAGTTTATTCATTTTAATAAACAGTTCAACAGGAACAGAAAGAACTCAACCCTTAGGGTGTCCAAAGCAGCTCCAGTTGCATGGAGAACAATCTGAAATAATTCAACAAATTAATAAAAAATAAATAAAATAAAACTCAAAAGCAATTTAAATAAAGGGTACAAACCTGGACACGCCTAAAAAGGTATTTGACACAGTAATCACTTTGTAATAACCAGAGGCCCAAGCATAGATATTGCGGAGGAACCTGTAGATCATGCATCCAGATTATGTTCAGTACTAAAACTTAAAATGACCAACTGTTCATCTTTATACCATTGAATGCACTAAACGCACCTGCTTTTATTTCCCTTTTCTTTGTTCCTTGACAACTAGTGTCACAACAGCTGCAGAGAGAACTCTGGGAAGGATCTTCCAACAACACCCATCTGCAAAGAGAGAGAGCCTATTTGTAAAACAAGGTAAACCAATTTGCATTCAAGCTAGACTCAAATGATTGAATTTAGGAATGTCAAGCAATTAAATATTCATACTGTGAGCTGGCACTGTCATATTGACATGCCTTCTTGCTACTGTCCAGAGCTTGAGGGTCCCATGCCACAAGTCTGCAGTGCAGGTAGATCTGAAGATGACATACATTTGTAACAAGGAAAGAGTTTCCAAAAAAAAGGAATAATTTAAAGCCAACTTACATCTTGCCCTGTGGCAAATCTGAAAGCTTGAAGACCTAATCGGATCTCTGAAAGCTGGTTTCTTGGCAGAAATCTAGAGTTGGTCTTTTTGCTGTCTACCAGACATCTTAAACAAAAACAAACAGGTGGTTTATCAATTTCAAAATAAAGATATTAATCCACCAATCTTGAAAATTTTTTTAGAATGAGCACACAATATTCAAACACATACCCGCCATTTGTAATTAGTGGGTGAATGAGAGACTCTGGACTCAATATTGGTGTTGTAGTGGCCCAACATTCATCCAAGAACAGTATTAAAGGCTGATGGCCCAATTGTTCAACAGAGGCGGAAATTGGGATTGTTGAGCCTAGAGAAAATGTTGTGGAAGTGGCCAAACCACTGAAGTCATCTACAAAAATAGAAAGCATCAGAAAGATCATTAAAATGGTCAAGAGGTTAATTCAAGAACGTTTCACTGAGTTTATACCCACCATTCATAAGGGTCAAGTGAAAGGCCAAACCCCCCTGGCCATATGTTTGAAACGCCAGAGGATCATACAAAGGAGGAGACCACTCTTTTGGCCTGAGGGGGAAATCAATGGTTCAGATTTATAGTTATCAGAAGATCAAGACAGTGGAGCATCTTGGTTTAAAGTTACACATTCTAAAATGGACAAAGCAATCACCTTTCAAAAACGCATGCCACTGGATAAGAAACAGTTTCAGCCACAGAAGTGATCTCAGTCTCAAATACAATCCCACCCATTGTCACCTAAGAAGAGGAAGAGAATGTGAACTTTGAGAAAAAGATTGAACTCTATGGGTTTCCATTTATTTATTTAAAAAAATGAAAAAAAAAAAATCAGTATTGCTACACTTTTTTCTAAATGAATCTCAAATAAGACCAAGGTAAAAGGAGACCTGAATTTAGTTTTTTTTTTTGTTAATGGTAATTATGGGGTTTAAACCAAGTACCACTTTACTCAAGCCATTAACTAATAGTTAAGAGTTCAATGAATTAAGTGAACTTATTTGAACTCACCAGCCTCCTAATGTCACAGGCCCCAAATTCAGCATGAAACACTGCTTCGGACCCTTGAGCGTTCACAGATGCTCGAGATGGAGGGCAGCTCCCCAACCGGAGAAGAAATGGATCTATTTGAGAGACTACTTCACTCCATTGCACAGAAACAGAGTTTTCGCCGCAGTTCAGAGTGATTGCTAAAGGAAAGTAAATTTGGGTATTAGCTTAGAATCAGTTTGTGCAACAAATGTTAAAATCATTGTCCAACATAAACACTGCATTCTCATAAAAGGTGTAAATTACCTGCTCGTGCCACTATGGAATAAGCCAGACAAAGAAAGACTACAAGTATCAAAAAGGACTGCATTGTGACGATGTACTCGCATCTTCTTTCAGGAAATACTTATGCACTTCGAATGCTAATTAACCTAATTAAAGGAGTCAAACGTGGTAAGCATTGATTGCGTGAGCTTAATTAACATCAGCTGCTAATGATTCATTTCTGATGATCACACGATGTTGGTTGTTCACAACTCAAGTGTCATTTTCAAATGATTTTTATTTTAAAAAATAAGAGGAATTTTCTATAGACTAGGGGTGTCCAAACTCGGTCTTGGAGGGCAGGTGTCATGCAAAGTTTAGTTCCAACCCCAATAAGACACACCTGGGCTAGCTATCAAGCTCTTACAAGGCTTTCTAGAACATCCCTGCAAGCGTTTTGAAGTTGGAGCTAATATCTGCAGGAGGACATCAGACTCCAGGACAGAGTTTAGACACCCATGGTATAGACCCTTTTGAGGGATGTAAACATTAGCATTAGTTCAAACCTATTTTCATGTTTTATATTTTTAATTTTCATAGCTTCCAAGAATACAAAAAGTCAACATTTTTATGACAATTATTTTAATTCCAAGTTATGATTGAACTGCCTCCAATTACAGTTATGAAGTAGTTTCAAAACAATTAGGATATGTTCATTGGCTAATGACATAACATTAAAATGGTCTATTTGCTACCAACCTAGTGGGTTAGTTTTGTATTCCTGCTGAACAGTGTTAATTAGAATCACCTACTTACATTTTAATAACCTTACATTAATTATTCATTAATTAATTAAAGCATTACAAAAGGTTGCAAAAAATGAGCTATATAAAAAAAAGTGTTTAAATATTTTTATTTTGCACAACAACCCTCAAACTTTTCAGACAATTCTCAAACCTTTACACACTGAATTCTATAACATCCAACCTTTCTTAGGATTTACCATTTTTACGTTGACATTTTATGACAAGCATTTAAAGACAGAGTCACGTTTCACAGTTTTTAATAGACAATGTAAAAAAGATGGAGCAGTAAAGAAAATAATCTGAAAATGGCAGCTCTTCATGACTCCTGATGAAGAATCCAGCACCTAATGAATAGACAAAGCGTTATTCCAGTTCACTAGCCAATCATGTATCTCAGCCATATTATATACAAATTAAACACCACTGACTCATCAAATATTTACAGCCTCACCAGACAGAACCTCAGCCTACAGAAGAAAAACAAACTACTATAATATACTATATTATAATATAAGTGAACCATTTGACAATTCTAAAGCATAAACCTTTTTCTGAGAGAAGAAACAGACAGTTGGGGCAGAAATTACTGGGACTCCTCAGTAAAAGTCAAAGGTCCTAACACAGATTTTAACACCAGTCCTTGAGGTGCTGCAATCCAAACACACTGAATGTTAACAAACTCACATTAAAATGGTTTACTGCATCTTTGGTTTAGAACTAATATGCTTTTGATTTACCAAAATCTGCATCCTTCTTTTCACGACCACCGCAGGTTGAGTCACAGCACTGGCAAAGAGAATTCTGAAATGGATCATCTAAAAGCTCCCACCTATGAATAAAAAAATAAATAAATATGCCTTAAAGTATTAAAAAAAAAAAAAAAAAAAAAAGCATAGATACTAAAATCATTTAATACCAGTCATATATTTACTTACTCTCCTGTGGCTTTATTATAATTGCACGCCTTCTTCGTTTTATTGAGGTCATCAGGATCCCATGCAATTAACTTGCAATGGATGTAAACCTGCAGGAAAAGAACAAGCAGCAACAAATTCAGATGTTTAAGAACTTTACAAGTTTCAAACAAGAGACTCCCTCACCTCTTGTCCCACAGCAAATGTGAAAGCTTGAAGGTGAAGCATAATCGAAGAAGATTGAAACCTTGGTAAAAACCTGGAGAAACTCTTCTTCCCATCTACAAGACACCTGTAATGGGTTCATGTTGTCAGCTGTGGAATTACGTTCACTAATCTGCAAATATATACACTATTTCAATTATTACAAACATACACACCCTTTATTAGTGATGAGTGGGTGTATAAGTGTATCTGCGTTCATTTCGGGTGTTGCAGATGCTACACATTCCTCCAGAAACAGTACCAGTGGCTGATGGCCTTGCTGGTCAACAGCAGCCCATATAGGTACAAAAGATCCCAAAGGAAAGACTGTGGATTCTGCCGGACCACTGAAATCATCTGAATAGAAGGTTTTGAGACAAGTTATCATTAGGAGATCAATCAGTTAACAGACAAAGGTTTTCCTCCATACTTACGATTGAGGATTGCCATTTGAAAGGCTAGTTGCCCATAACCTTGTATTTCGCCAGTAGAAAGACTCTGGAAGGCAGGAGTCCAACCTTTTGGACTTAAGATCGAATATAGGTTATTGTACTTCACCAACGAGAATGATTTTGCCACAGTGTTGTGACCTTACCTGTCATATACACATCTAACTGGATAGGTAAAAGCTGGAGGGTAAGGTTTGGGCAATGGCCTGTAAGTTAGTTGGTTCTCGTACACTAAGGATTTCCACGTTGACTAAATGAAATAGAAAAATAAAGTTTATTAACAAGTTTTCAGGATTGAGTGATAAAAAAAAATCCATGAAACAAACTTACGATCCGTCTGAAGCCGCACGCACTGAATGGATAGTGAAATTCTGCATATGCTCCATCTTGCGTCATGTTAGAGAACACTGAAGGAAAGCAGCTACCCAAGAAAAGACGAGCAGGATTTGCAGTCATCGTTTTTTCCAATTTCCACTTGACATGAACAGAGTGGTCCTTGCAATTAACTTGTATATCTGGAAAAAAATGACAGAGGTGGAACTTAATAGTTTTTAGAGTTAAAGAAAACTGAACAACTCTGGCATCAGTTTGGTTACAAAGCAAGTAATTAGCAGGTCAAGCATCTTGGATCAGAATTCAAGTCCGCTAGCCCTGCTGAAGAAATCAATATTGGCTGGTAAGGTAAATTTTGAAGCTAGTGTGCTAGTTTCAATGCTGGTCTTTTCAGTAGGAGGTTAGACTATAAAATATGGTGGTTAGTCAACCAGCTAACAAACAAATAAACAACTTTTCCCACAACATGTTTCATAACTCCTTTTTCTTAACAATAGATCAACTTTTTTAGTGCAGTAATAAACATTACCACCATTACTTTCGTCAGACTCAAATGCTGTGGCAACTGCAAAAACAAAAAGCCACAGGCAATTCATGGTCAGGTAGCGCAGACCAAGGAGGTGCCAACCAAACGCTCTCTGTAAAAAGAAGCTGAACTCTGTTTCTCCTCATCAGTAACGTTAATTTATAACACCTGGCAACTAGGAAATAACAGCGTTTACTTTCTAACTAAACCATTTTCTGGTTTACACTTCTGCATTATCATTAGTTATACATTTGAGCAATATACAATTCTTTAAATGATTTTGGCAGCATTTTATTTGACTTTCATTTATTTCAACGAGACGACCAAATGCGGAACCATAGATAGAGATGAACCAAACCACCCGGAGTTAATTTAAGCTACACGGGAAATAGGGCAGTTTTTTCCTCTCATTTCACCAGAAGGGTTTTAACCGGTACATTTGCGTTAGGTTTCATCAATTACTTCTGTTAAAATATTATTATAATATTAAACATCTCTTACCATCGTATTCGTTAAAATACATACCTCAAAATGTTGATTAAAGTTAAGGTAAGCGATATTTATCATAGCATTTACATGATCTGTCTCTAATATGTGAGTTTCATGATTAAGTTAGTTGTTTTCAGAAACAATTTTCAACCGTGGTTTTATTATAGTAAAAGCGTAGTAAAAATTTTGGGCGCATCGCAATAACCACATTTTACTACAAATTAAGATAGAAACCTTGGTTCATTTGCGTATGTGTGCATGAATTGTTGCGTATTTGATTCTTGCTGAATTTAACCGAGCATTCTCTGCATGTTTACTTTATTATGTAAGCCATTGAGATGCATAAGAAATAATCATTTTTATATCACGTCTCAGACACTCACAGGAAAAGAAATAGAAATTGACATCGAGCCTACAGACAAGGTAGGAATATTATGATGATAATATTTCTGTATTTTTGAAACTAAATGTGGAGGAAAACCACTGAAATCTTTTCCCAACCAAGGTGGAGAGAATCAAAGAGAGAGTGGAAGAAAAGGAGGGCATCCCGCCACAACAGCAGAGACTCATTTACAGCGGCAAACAGATGTAAGGTTGCAGCACAGCGTCATTTTGATGCTAAATATTAGCCATGATTCTGAAATGATCTCTGCTTTATTTCAGGAATGATGAGAAAACCGCTGCTGACTACAAAATCCAGGGAGGATCTGTCCTGCATTTAGTTCTGGCTCTCAGAGGAGGAGAAAACCTGCATTAGTCCTGCCAGTGTCTTTCCTCTAAATTTAATCAGTTAAGCTTGTAAATAGTAGAAATGTGTGTTATCATATCCATCGAAATCAACAGCAGAATCTCCAGAAGGCTGTGGTGCTCAATGCCTCCAATGGACACTTGGCTTTGCATAAACCATGTTATTGTCATCACAACTGCTCGGGATTGAGAGAGCATCATACAGATGCTTTCTAAACACTGTTTACAGTCTTAATGCGAGCTTATGCTCTAGCTTGACTCAGATTTTGCAGTATAAAGCTGTGCACTGAAACAACCCCTTTTATTCATGGTTTAGGAAACTCCTGTAAAAGAGCTTATAGAAGTTTGATTATTATTTCTATTTTAAACGGTAATTTTAACACACCTCCCTTATTCAGTTCTTGCGCATCTAAAAGAGACACAGATGTGTATCATCTTCCCAAAACAACACGTTATACCATATCTGTTTTATTGTATTATGTTTTGATGAAAGAGGAATAAACAATAGATATTTGTCATTTCACACACACACAATGAGGTTGAGAAATATGTATAGGACATTTTAAGTATGTGAAATGGCAAGTTCACATTCACCGTCAATAAAAGGATACGATGTTGGTGCAGGAATGTCCTGAGGCTGAAGAGAATT